CAATAAAATTGCCTTATTTAATTTTGGAGTGCCAGGATCTTTTTTTCCTGTCTGAAAAATTGTATCATAAATCACAGGAATTTATTCACTAACGCTGTTTTGAACTGAAATGCAATATTTAACCCCTTAGTGACCAGACCATTTTTTAATTTTCTTACCATTAAGAACCAGGGCTGTTTTTACATTTTTGCGGTGTTTGTGTTTAGCTGTAATTTTCCTCTTACTCATTTACTGTACCCACACATATGAAATACTGTTTTTCTAGCCATTAAATGGTCTTTCTAAAGATACCATTATTTTTATCATATCATATAATTTACTTTAACCCCTTAAGGACCTAGGACGGTTCAGGACCGTCATCGGCATTTTTACATTGCCGACCGATGACGGTCCTGAACCGTCCTAACGGTCCAATGTATTAACCTGATTGCCGTCGTTCCCACGGCGACGATCAGCGTGGCCCGTGGTGTGGGGAGACTGCCTGCAGCCCAGACAGTCTCCCCACACTGAATTAGGACCCCTGTGGCCATGTGATCGCTTAACACAGTGATCACATGGTCACAATAGGTGTCCATGTGTCTGCCTGCAGGGGGACTGTCTGTGCTGACAGGCAGTCTCCCTGCTAGTGTAAAATTAAAAATTAAATAAAGTTAATGTTAATTAAAAATATTTTTTTTTATATGTGTATATATATATATGATATATAGACATATATTATATCTATATATGTCTATATATCATATATATAATGCCATACTAAGTGTATTTTTATATTAATATGTACTTATATTAATATAAAAATACACTTAAAATTAAATTACACACGTATATATATAATATATATAATAACTATATATATTGTATATATTATTATAAAATATAAATAATAAGTAATTTAAATTAAATAAAATGTTTTTTAAATAATAATAAAAATTAAAAAAAAATTATATATCTATATGAAATTTTATTCTAACTGTATTTTACAATTAATATATATATATTTATATCAAAATACACTTAGAATTAATTTGTATATATATATCTATGTATATATAAATAAATAAATAAATAAAAATAATACGAAATATACATATGTCCATATACAAAATTACATAAATAATTATATAAATATACACGTAGACTTCAAATATATAAATATGCATATATATTTAAATTCTACGTGCGTATTTATGTAATATTTTTACATACTTCAGTAATTTTATTGATTGCAATTTGAGGGACCTGTCTGCCAACCCAGGCCGAAATTCCAGAGAATTTAATTTCCTAGCACTGTATTTTACCCTGTAACGTTCTACGACACCCTAAAACCTGTACATGGGGGGTACTGTTTTACTTGGGAGACTTCGCTGAACACAAATATTAGTGATTCAAAACAGTAAAACATATCACAGCGATGATATTGTCAGTGAAAGTGACTTTTTTTGCATTTTACACACACAAACAGCACTTTTACTGATGATATAATTGTTGTGATACGTTTTCCAGTTTTTAAACACTAATATTTGTGTTCAGCGATGTCTCCCGAGTAAAACAGTACCCCCATGTACAGGTTTTATAGTATTTTTGAAAGTTACAGGGTCAAATATATGGGTCAAATATTTTTACATTGAAAATGGCCAGGTTGGTTACGTTGCCTTTGAGAGCGTATGGTAGCCCAGAAATGAGAATTACCCCCATGATGGCATACCATTTGCAAAAGAAGACAACCCAAGGTATTGCAAATGGGGTATGTCCAGTCTTTTTAGTAACCACTTGGTCACAAACACTGGCCAAAATTAGCGTTCAATTTAGTTTTTTTACTTTTTTCACACACAAACAAATATGAATGCTTACTTTGGCCAGTGTTTTCGACCAAGTGGCTACTAAAAAAGACTGGACATACCCCATATTGAATACCCTGGGTTGTCTACTTTAAAAAAAATATGTACATGTGGGGTGTTATTCAGAGATTTATGACAGATAATAGTGTTACAATGTCACTATTGATACATTTTAAAAATGTATGTTTTGAAACCGCAATATCCTACTTGTACCTATAACATGCAAAAAAAAAGGAAAAAAGCACGTAAACACTGGGTACTTTTAAACTCAGGACAAAATTTTGAATCTATTTAGCAGTTTTTTTCATTCGCTATTGTAGATGAGTAAAAGATTTTTCAAGTAAAAGTCAAAAAACATGTATTTTTTTAAATTTTTCATCATATATTTTTATTTTTTTTAAATTAAAATACATGAGATTATATAAATAATGGTATGTAAAGAAGGCCCCTTTTGTCCTGAAAAAAACATTATGTAATTTGTATGGGAACAGTAAATGAGAGAGCGGAAAATTACAGCCAAACACAAACACCACAAAAGTGTCAAAATATGCCTGGTCGCAAATGTACAACATCGCAAAAACAGTCCAGTCCTTAAGGGGTTAAAAAACAATTATAAAATACGATGAAAGAAGCCCGGGCAAAGCTGCAGCCGCCTGAGGCTCTCTACAGAGCGCTCTACAGAGCGCTTGGGCGGCTGCAGCATGGGGGGGTGTCTGGCAGCACCCATTCCCAAGGGGCGCCCTAGGCGGCTGCCTAGTCCGCCTAACAGGTAGCTCCGGCCCTCAGTCTAGAAATACCCAATGTTGACATGTTCTTGGATTATTATTTTTTGCAAGTTATAGGGCTATAAGTACAAGTAGGACATTGCTGTTTCAAAATATATATTTTTTAAATTTATCAATAGTGACATTGTAACACTGTTATCTGTCATAAATCTCTGAATCACACCTCACAGGTACATATTTGTTTAAAGTAGACAACCCAGGGTATTTAATATGGGGTATGTCCAGTCTCTTTTAGTAGCCACTTAGTCACAAACACTGGTCAAAGTTAGAATTTATATTTGTTTGTGTGTTAAAAAGGCAAAAAACTATTATGAACGCTAGCTTTGGCCAGTGTTTGTGACTAAGTGGCCACTGTAGCGGAGCGCTCTGTACCCATGCTGGGTACCTCTGCCAGAGGGGTTGCTTCCTAGCTGGGACCAGGGGAAACTGGTAGGGGAACTAGCTCTTTTAGTCCTTACAAGGACTTTCCCTGTTGCATGCCCTGCAAGCTAGAACAGCAGAAAAAGGGGTTAAATCTTCCTTCCCTCCAGTAGACTTTCCCTGTTTCATCCCCTGCAAGCTGGAACAGCAGACACAGGTGTTAAATCTTCCTTCCCTCCAGTAATCTTTATTTTGAACACACAGTATTTATGCACATACCCCCGCAGGGGGTCTCCACTCAGTACAACACTGTCACATATTCATCCGCTTATAGAAATGTGGTTAATGACATTTACTGTCCACACAGGAAAAGTTGTGCCGAGCAGCAACCTAATCCACAGAAGGGTTAATGCTGAGCAGCAATTATGCAAATGAAACCTGGTAACTGACTTTGGGGTCAAAGGCCGGTTACAGAAAGAAAGGAGGGGTATTTAGGCCCAGTTCTCAACCTGCTCAGTGCCCTGTCGTGGTTTCCCTTGTGGTTGTCCGAGAGCGCGTTCCTGTTTATAGTTTTCTACCTGGTTTTTGACTTTTGGCTTTGTTTATTGACTTCTCTATATTCTGGTATCCTGACTCCTGGCTTTCCTCATCGCTGTGTCCCTTTCTGTGTTCCCTGACCTCGGCTAGTATTTTTGACTATTCTTTGTACGTTAAATCCGACCATTCTAAGGACCGGTAATACGTTACTTATTTGTCATCCGTGCTGTACAGTTCTACGTGCTGGATCAAACAGTAATCCTGACATTACGACATGGCCATAGATCCTGTAGAACTGTGTCAGCACATAGCTGCTTGCGAGAGGAAATTAAAGGAGAATGATCACCGCATGGATCAATTCACTCAGGCTTTAAGTACGCTTCTCGCTAGAACGGAGCATCTGCAGCCTGCAGCGTCTCCTCCCATAGCACCTCTACCCTGTGTACCTCCACCCACTGTTAATAGGACTCCTTGCATCTCCTTATCACCATCCCTACAGTTTG